CTCCTACTTCATGCTATCTCTCTCTCATGACCACACTCTACTTCTCTGTTTCTCTCGCCTTCTTTTCCTGTATGCTAACACACACACCATTGACACACCTCCGTGTTTAATACAAATCTTGTGAATTGCTAACTTTTGTCCTCTCTCTCTCTCTCAATCGCTTGTTTCTATTGTTATTGATGTTCATGATTAAGAGAAACGGTTTCATAAATGAAAACTGAAGCTTAGAAAATAACTAAAAACTAAAAGATTGCTTATGCCATTTGTCACTGGTGTAATATCACAGAGAATTACAAAAGCAATTTCATCTCTTTTCAACATATATATATATATATATATATATAATATTTCAAAATTCAATTGTCATTTCAAGGTTATTCATGCATTTAAAATTAATTAATTAATTAATTAGTTAAAACAAAAAAGAACAAATAGAAACCTTTTAATTTTAAAAATATAAAAATAATTTAAGCAAACAGTTGTCACTTTCAATAAATTCTTTTTCAGGAGCTACAACAATAAATCCATTCAGCATTTAAGCATACAATAGCCGACCAGTTAAGTCAAAAATTAGAATCATATCAGTAGTGTGTATTGTGTGGAACAAGTATAAGATGGGATAAAACAATTGTCAGTTAGTTTTGAGTATGCACAGTCAATGAGAATGTAAGATGAAATCAGGTGATATTTTATCCCATATCATCTTATGTTCTCATTGACCATCCATAATTTCTGTTCAGGTTCTTAGAATTATATAATATAATATTCACTGTTGCCGTTACAATAATGATGGCCAGTTATGCGGTGGATACATTTTCGTTAACGTAGAATAACAGATTAGTAGTTATGGGATGTCAAAATAAATAGTCCTATTTGTGTGACAAACGTGATCTGGGCTGAAATCAATTACGAAATATTTCGGTGAAATGAGAGACAATGGTGGTGATTAGTCATAATAGATTTGTAGAGTGTGGGGTAGGAAAATTGACAAGTCAGTCAGTTCAAGGTTATAGAAGGTGTCAGGTGAGTGAGTGGCTAGTACAAAATGGTATGTACTAAAGAGGAGATACTAAGACGGTATTCATATGAACTGTGATCAAGATTTGACCGGATTGTTGCAAAATAATTGAGCGCCTAGTGAGAAGTATATTATTATTATTCCTCTTAATTTGTACCCTTCATGCAAATATTTATACTATCCTGAACTTATTATTAGTGATATTATCTCTTTTCTCAATATATATACCTCCACCTGTTTCATTTCACATATTCGTTATTTCATTATGAACCACCTCTCATTGCAGTCTTACTATCTCCTGTTTAATACACCCCACTTTGTGCTAGCCACTCACCTGACACCTTCTATAACCTTGAACTGACTTGTCAACTTTTTCTACACCATATTCGACATATCTATTATGACTAATCACCACCATTGTCTCCTATTTCACCGAAATATTTTGTAATCGATTTCAGCCCAGAGCACGTTTGTCACACAAATACGTCTATTTATTATGAAACCCCATAACTAAACTGTTAATCTACACAACAAATCTATCCGCCGCATAACTGGCCATCATTATTGTAACGACAACAGTTCTATTATATTTTATAATTGTAAGAACCGGAAGAGGAGAAATTATTGAAAAGAATATTCTTCGTTCAGATTGACTTTGAATTCATGTGATATGGGAATATTTTTGACACTATCAAATCTTATAATAGTCAGTTAGTTTTGAGTATACATGGTCAATGAGACCATAAGGTTAAATGAGAGGAAATAACTTAATGTCAGTATGAATCTGACTTTAGTTAGGGGACCATTGGGAAACAAGAAACATCGGGCAGTTAGTTGGTTCATTCTAGTTTTTATGAGGTTTCAGCAATTCACTATATGTGATTTCATCGAAGGTCAAATCTTACGCCTCCCTGCAGTTCACGACGTCAGGCTTTTTTTTATTCAGTTAATAATCTTTAAATATTCTCACTGTTTATGTTAGTGCAAGACATGTAGGCGAAAAATACTGTTTTCAGGATTCCATCATCAACTGACATTGGTGAGAGAATCATTGGAGAACCAGGCGAGAGTACTGGACAGTTGTTTCGTCCTAATTTGGAACTCTTCATTTTTCAATATATATATTGTCTCTGTGATTTAAACATTCATAATTTATTCAAAATTCAATGTCACTGAAGTCTATTCACGCGCATTTAAAATAATCAATTGGTTAAAACAAAAGAAACAAACATTTTAAATTTATCTCATTTAAATTTCATTGATTTTCAATCATTAGTATAAATATAATTACGAAACTGACTTTAGGTTAAGGCACCATTGAAAATCAAGGAACACTGTAAGAGTTAATTGTTCCATTCGCGTTTGTGAGTGTACCTATATATATAGCGAATTGACAGAAGTTAGCCTGTTGGACTCTTTCTTAGTGGCTGAATGATGTTCCAGGTTCGATTCTCGGTGAGATTATACTTGCGTATTTCTGAGGAGTCTCCAGCTGGATCGATACAGCTCTCTAGTACACTCTGGTTTTCAATGGTTCTCTAAATGATGTTTATTCGTAATTTGATTTGAACATTTGAATTGACAGTTACGTAACCCTTAGTTCGTATGGTGCGAATTACTAAAATTGTTGGTGTAAGGATTGTTGAAGATACATTAGGCAAATTTATAAGACAGCGAAAACAATAATACTTTGATTGGACACTAGTAACTAGTGTGATGTGTCTAGTCCTTTCTCTGGTGCAGACTGAATTCTATCGTTAGTCAGGTTTGCATTGTGACCACCATTCTAGATTGCTCGCTATCTTGGTGTACATTGATTTGATAATATTAGATGGTTGGAGACATTTAGCAGGAAGCCCTAGGACATGAGTTCCTTCAAGGTTGCAGATACGCCTTGCTGACTGATGCGTGCCAACTAGCACGAAACCTAGTTCAATCAAGGTTTCCTGCCGATTGCCTCCAACTATCTAATATCATCAGAACAATAATAATTTGTTTTTTAGTTCAAGAAAGGGGGAAAGAGTCAGTTCTTGCTTTCATGTGGATCTGATCGAGTGAATGTCTCATAAATCCACAAATCTAGCCGCATAAAGTGAATTCTGGCGGCTTCTGTTGTATATAAAAGACTGAATAATAAAGCAACATTGAATAGCAATGAGATAAATTCTGTGTTTGATATCAATAAGATGTACCATAACAGAGCTAAGAATGGACCTATGAGCAGCTATCGTTTCCAACTCCAAGGCATTATCCACTGAACCACTAGAGGAATCACGTCTTGTAAAATGTGTGTCAGTTCTTACTGGTTCAAGGTATTCTGAATTTCCCCTTGATTGAATTGATTCCATTGGTGTAAAATGAGCGTTCCCTATTGACATGACAGCCTCGTGTATGTTGACACCAAGTAATTAACATTTTGCTCACGTCAAAGCGTACATGCTTGGAGCCAATATATCAACAGAAAGCGAGCATTCCGATCTAAAATTTTGAAATAATAAAATAACTCGCCAAGAGCCTAACAGAACTAAGAAGTTTCAAAGTACTGTCTGTAGTTCCACTTTTCACAATAATACTTTGGAATTATGATGCTGAGATTTCTATAAATGCGCAGATTCGCTGATATAAGTGTCCGGTTTTTCTTTTTGCTCTCTCTTCCTCTCTGTCTGTGCTTCGGTTGTTCAACAGTGGTAGGCTCGCCAACCACGCCTCACGTGGTCCAGGGTTTGATCCCCGGCTAATAACGCACTACTATACCTCACTAAGCCAGTGATAGTAAGGCCGGTGAAGAGGGACGGTTGACGGTGAGTTATACTAACGACCTCACACGGTAAAAATAAACACCACCGCTTGGGAAACTCCAAAGCTCTGGCTAGCTTGTGCAGCCCTGTGTTCCAACTGGAACGTAAAAAAATAAAATGAGACAAAATTCAAGTGGTGGTTTGCTTGAATTGGCAGAAGTTGGAATTCATGGAACAACAGGTCGACTCCCAGTGATTTAATGATCTACGAGCGTGTTGGCCGTGTAGCCAGAAAAGCCTGGGTTCGAACCCCTGTAGCAGGTGTGTACTGCTGAAGTGTCCCAAGCTAGGCTGAAGAAGCAGCAGTCAAATACTCCCTTGCTGGTTTTCCAATGGTTCTCATTTCTTATATCAGCTCATGATGAAATTTTGGGGAATGAAATGAAATCTAAGTGTTGGTTTGTAGGGATTTGATTGGTTTCAGGATTTCATCATGAGCTGACATTAGTTAGAGAACCATTGGAAAACCTGGGAGTACTGGACAGCTGTTTCGTCCTAGTTTGGGACTCTTCATCAGTACGCACCCACCGGGATTCGAACCCAGGACCTTCCGGTTACAAGGCCAGCGAGCTCGTATACCATTAAGCCACTGGGACCCGATCCAATGGTCCTTGAATTCTAACTTCTGCCAATTCACGACATAGCGCGACCGCTAGCCAATGTCTTCGGCGAGTATTTGTCCTCACACCCGACCTGCTGCACGCTACTGGTCACGACTTCCCACTGGAACCCAGGTAACTACCTACCTTAATAGGACCAGTCGCCAGTGAGCATCTCATTGGTATTTAAGTGTTGGTTTGTAGGGATTTGATTGGTTTCAGGATTTCATCATGAGCTGACATTAGTTTGAGAACCATTGGAAAACCTGGGAGTACTGGACAGCTGTTTCGTCCAAGTTTGGGACTCTTCAGCAGTACGCACCCACCGGGATTCGAACCCAGGACCTTCCGGTTACAATCTCTCCTTCTCCCTCTCTTATTGAAGTACATCAGTTGACATCGAATTCCTTTTTTTGTTTAACTGCTTCATTTATTTATTTATTTGTTTATTATTTTGAAACTTTTTATTCCTATTTAGGTATACCAAAAGAAATAGCCTACACAGCTTTATCAAATCCCAGATTGATTGCTGCCAATGCAAAATTTGCAATTTGTCCACAAAGCGATACAAATGACAATCCTGGCATGAATCCCTATGGCGAAGATAATGATGACGATGACAGCGGTGATGATGAAGACGACGGAGATGGTGATGATCTTGATGATATTGATAATGTCACCAGTGAATATGACTACTGTCCAATTGAACAAGTAACTTTGCGTATGAAAATTTTATGGAGTAAAGAAGATATCATTGTTGGTGATGAATCAAATTCACCTTCTCCCTCTTCATCAGTGTCATCGTCGTCCGCCTCGGCCGCGACAGCCTCCTCATCACCGTCATCAACATCAGCGTCGTCGTCTTCTGCTTCTTCACAGTGTGACTTGGATTATTACTCCTTACTGGCTAACCGTAAAACTTGCAGTAAGTACCTTTTTATTTTATTTATTTGTCTTCGATTTTATGTAGCGAGGTCTTCTTTTCATTATTTTGTATTGTATATTAGACTATTTGGAATATAATTCTTGTCTGCTGACGTGATATTTATCTCATGATGATTGATGGTGATGGTTGCATTTAAAAAAAACGGCGCCATTCTGTTACGCCAAACAGATGTTCACTCAAGATTTTATGGTATATATACATAGTTAATATTTGTAGACATATGGTTAATGATGTTTTAATTTTGTATTTCTGTGTTCTAAGATAAGGAGAGAATTCCTATAACTGGATTTAATTAAGTATGCGCAAAACTATTACTCTGTGTGTTCACGATGATGTAGGACTGGTCTATATCTAGTTCTCCTAGCTTAAAGATAGGGAGTGAAGTGCTGGCTGTGCATGTTGATCAATTCACTTATTATTGGGAAATTGTATCACCCAGAGGGTTGACCGCTGATGAAATCTCAGCACGGATATGAAGGGCTTGTGTGACATTTCGCCAACTTACTCCACCTCTGGCTTAGTAGATTTATTTTTTTTTGATTTTTGATTACAGCTTGATTCCACAATGTATTTTTGGTATAAGTGTGGAGTTTTCAGCACGGATATCGGTAGCCCAAATTTCGCAGGCCCATCATAGATATCAAGTGTGCGTCGGCGAGGGCTCGAACCTCGTACCATGTGCATGGTCGGCGAGAGTCCTAATCACTGTGCCACTGACGCACTAGATGTGATATCCAGTTCATGTGTATTGGACAACAGCAGTTAACTCCATCCTCTTTTATCGCTGTGTGCCAGACACAGTCGATGAAAGTGGAAGAATTGAAAAGGATGACTGTCTAGCTGTCTTTGATCATAGGAACCTGCATTCTGTACACCTTCCGTGTTAAGTGGTAGGCGTGATAGGGTGAAAAATATTAATGTGAGGCTTCGGTCGAGTGCCACGAAGGAGGGATGGAAAATCAATCCACGAGGTTGTAAAGCTACATCTACTTAGATAGTTAGGACATATGTTACGCATTCGTAGTCATTAATCGCCTTCCTTGATCGATCGATGGTCAATCTTAGCTGACATAGGATCAATGTGGTTGGATAGGAGTTAGCGTTGGTGGTCAAACCTAAACTTTGAATCAATCCATGAAATCGTTAACAGTTGTTTTACGCCACCCAGCTAGTCAGGTATAGCGGTTCGTTGGTTAGTGTCCTCTGGATGCTAAGAACGAATATCTGCAGATAGTTAGTGATATGGCCCGGTATCGTTTTCAGTAGCCTAGATACATTCACTCCCTTTGATTTGAAATGTACACAAAAACCGTATTGTTTTTCTATCTTACTGTGGTTCCTTCCTCGCATTTCCTCTTATTATCGTTTCTTCAAATATACTTATTTCTGTATTTTATCTTCTTTGTATGTTGAAAGCAGGGAATCAGTCTGTTTGTGTGTAGCAGAGAATTATCGCCTTTCTCATGGGGAAAAACTTTTTAAATTGCTGCATTTAATTAAGTGGATAGTTCAAATAAGAAACTTTCAATACTAGTACAACTAATTATCATCAAAATAAAGCTCATAAAGATGTGAGATGTGGAAATTTATTAAGTACCTGATTATAGATTGCTACAACAATCTATTATTGGTTTAATGGTGAAATACTCTCCAGGTACACAGAAACTCTGTCTGCTAATGCACACCTAAACCTCGCTTAGTTTATTAGCTGATAGAAAGGCTAGAAAAGAGGGAAGGTCGACAGCTCCACACCGTGTATACAACACAGTTGTTACTGAAACTTCGGGGCTTGAAGTTATGTGTTCCATTGTGGACCCAAGGATTGAAAATAAAAACAATCTAAATGTCGACTAATCAAACCTTTTAGTCAGGTCTAGATTTTAGGGATTTGACTGATTGTTTACAGGATTTCATTGTCAGCTGACAATGGTTAGAGAACCATTTTTCACTAGTGAGAAGTCGCGATCAGTAGGGTGCAGATACCCGCCGAAGACATTGGCTAGTCGTGAATTGGAAGAAGTTGGAATTGATGCAATGCCCATTGAATCGTGTCCCAGTGGTTTAATGGTCCACCAGAAGGTCCTGGGTTCGAAACCCTATAGTGGGTGGTGGATGAAGAGTTCTACGCACTAGGACGAGACAGTTAGCTGTCCAGTACTCTTTGGGGGGGGTTCCAATGGTTCTGTTACCGATGTCAGCTCATGAGGAAATCCTGTAACTAATCAAACCTTTTACTTTTCAATGCACTTTCGTCTTTTCATATCATACGCTGACAGCGATTAGCACTTAAACCTTCGATATGTTATTTGGGACTTTTTACATATACTGTGTCATTTGGAATAGTAATAATATCCCCCGACAAATAACATTACTGCTTGGTTTGTGTAGTTCAAAACTACTTAGGTTAATCAATAATCCTTTCTAGGTAGTTCAAAATGGTTCATAAAATACCATACAGTTGTTTCGCTCCTTTATAGCTCAGTTCATCGACGATTTATGAGGTTTTGAATCAATTCAAACTGCTCTAACTTGTTATGCATAGAATCTATTCTGAAATTAGCAAATTATACAGTTCAAAATGAGTCTAAATTGTGGTCAACACCTAAGTTATTATAGTTTATGGAACCATAGAGAAATTTTTATTTTTTTTAAATTTTACTCGACTGAATTCATCAATCATCATTTGATTGACTCGAGACAGACACCGTCAACTGTTAATATTATTTGGCAAAATATTGAATACTTCAAGATGAAATCAAGAAGGTGGATAAACAAACCAGCGAGAATATCGTACAAAAAGTACATCCCTTTAAAATATCATAAATAAAAAGCTAACCAAAAGTTACTGTTAACTGTTAATAATAATAATAACAAAAATAATACGAGTACAGAAAAACAAATTAGGGCGGGTAAAAAAGGTTTGAATTTTTGAAAACAAGTAGAAGTTAAAACAGCTGTTGCTGGACTCACAACTTTTAAATGTTCATTCTAAATATCCCCTTCAATCTTTGGTTTAGTTGGTCTAAACTTTTCTACAGTATTCAGATGAAGTAACGATGCTATATTCTAAAGAACAGAAGAGGAATGATTGATTACCGACATTGATGCAAACGATTAAAACAAAAATGTGTGTTCCTCATGATTCATAGAATGTTACCCATACGAAAGTATTCGGCTCTAATGGCTCATAAAGTAGTGATACCACAGACAAATGAAATTTATCTTCAGGTTAATAAACAAAGGTGTTTTAAACATATTGAACACTACATATACAAATTAGAATGGCTGTGACTTCAATGTTGTTCTCCCTGAACAGAGGGATTTAACTGCGTAATTTTTTAATTGTTCAGCGTAGAAATCAGTTTTCATCAGGGCTAGTTAATACTGGAACAATTATTTAGAAAACATTCATCTAATATTGATTGCTGGCGCTATCATCATCATCATCATCACCATCACCGGTTTTTTAAATATAATCAGGGAAGACAGCGAAGTAGGTATGAATAGCACATATCCTTTCCATCTGTCTTCCACGACCGATAATTTTGTCCATTTTCGGTTCAAGTTGGCAAACATCTCACCTGTGACATGAAAACATCAATTGTTTTACTGGGTCGCATAAATGAGCAAAGATTGTCAGACTAAATTTTCGATGTAGAACAACACTTTGCACTAAAGTGCAGCAGTTTAACCTGTCGCACTTCATAAAGATAAGGTGTAATAGAAAAGCCATTCAGTTACCTTAAACAGAAACAAATACGCGAAATTTGAGAGATTGTCAATAATTCTAGGTGTCTGCACTATTCAGTTGGGTTTTTTAGCCGTGTCAGTCTTCAGTTATTGGTCCTTAACGTCTCGAAAACCCAGACAGGTTAACAGGACAGTTTACACCCCCGCCTGCCCTACATAGTTCACACCAATCGTCAAGGATTTCATAGATTGATGTATCATGTTTTAATTTTACCAAGCCTGACTTTTTTTCAATCCATTCCTATGTCAATTAATATTGCTTGACATCTTCTCCAAGCGGTTGTATATTTCTCCATCGTTAAGTCATCGTCATCGTTTCTTCTCACTTTTGTTTTTATCAATCAAAATGGGGGACTGATTTTATCCAAATTGGAAGAGCCAGTGGTGGCCAAACAAAAACATGGCCTCATCAATCCATGAAATCCTTGACAGTTAAACTGAGTCAGGTAGAGAGATGCAGACTCCCGGGTTGGGGCCTTCGGGACTCTAGGAATCAATGGCTGGAGACAATAGGTGACATGGCTCAAAATCGTTGTCAATGGCGCAGATGTATTCAATCTCTGTAATCTTTCATATTTCTTTATACCATTACCCATTCTGTTTCACTCTTATACTTGTCAAACTCTATTGATTCTCTCCACTCATCTTCTTGTCTACCTTTGTGTGCTATTTGGAACGTGGGAACTCGAACTGGTGCACTTCAGTGCCAAGTTCTATGATGAATCCAGACAGACAGAAATTGGAACTTTGATTCGTTTTTATGGTTAACACGTAATTTTTAACCAGTGAGTTATGTGTTCAAACTTCATCAAACACCTGATTAGTAGTATTATCAAACGTTGCAAAACAGTTACACTACCATTATCCAAATACCTGTATATGCACAAAGTTAGTGGATGAAAGGATCGTTAGAGTATTATTTTTTTAGTTCCTAGAGGAACGTGGGGCTTCAGGCTTTGATTATGAACAATAAATTTTGTTCGAAACGTCATCCAGTAAGTAATACTGTCTCACTGTGTGATATATCCATTGCTTTCGATTCTCCGACAACATTTTCACCTGGCTCAACGTCTGCCCACATGCTTTCATCTTCTATTCACATCACCTCTTTCATGTCATCCTCGCACTGACGACCAACTTGCCGCTTCCGTTAGAGGTTGTTTCTTTCAGACCCCTCTTATTTATCCTGGTTGATTGTTGTCTGTTGTTGTTGTTGCTGTTGATGTTGCCCAGGAATCTTCATCACCACCTTTGTTTTCTCTATGTTCACTTGAAGTAAGTCCTATCCCCTCTGGATGCTTCTGCTACCAACTTGTTGCTTTTCATCACTTGGATATCTTCCAGTTTGTGGGAAATCAGAAATATATATGTCATCGGCGAATTCCAGATTCTCCAAGGTCTTTGTATGGGTCTATTTTATCTGTGTAGCGTACACTTTGTATTTAAAAGTCACCATGTAAGAGAATTGTGTTTTAAGCGGCTTATTTATGTAATGCTCGACAGCCATAATAGTGGTCATGGTTCGACTCTCCGCCAACTCACTCACAAACCACACTTTTTCTGTAAAGAGGGAATGTTAACTGTGGGACAAGCAATTCCACTCCGTTGAAGAAAGTAATCCAACTGTTGGTACAACTTCGAAACTTAGGCGTCAAGACCTGTGTTCTACTTGGAATGCAAAAGAGCAAGAAAATTCTGAAAGATTATGTAGACTAATTGTAGTGACTAAGTTTATTATTCGGTTATGACGTGAAGGCAAGGAACTTGTTTCTCCGTTCTACTTTATATGGTCGACAAAACTTCATTGAGACACGCTCCCTCACAAAACGTTCCAAACGCAGGGAAATGGTGATTATTATTCAATATTTTGGCGGTTTTCTTAAACAACAATAATAACATCAAAACTCAAATTTACCTCAACATTGACGTGAGACTGTTTTCTAAATACAAAACAAGTACTGTCAGACAAAATTAGTAAACCGTGTTTCAACTGTAAAAAGTACCTTAGAATCACAGAGAATATTCCCAACAGGTTGGGATCAAAAGCTCTGTCCATAAGAATCACATACCAAAGCTTCCCGAAGGCAGTCCTGACTCAAAGTAATCTTCATTCACTCAAACCAACTCATATCGTTAAACAACACATTGTCAACGTTCAAGGACAAAGGAAAATAGCAAATGTCAAAATCAACGTGTGATAATCAAGTGTCAATTCAACGGCCAAATATACGAACAAGTTAAAGGAACACCCTTAGGATCAGCAGTATCAGATTTGATTTCTCAAGCAGTGATGCAAAGGCTCACAAACATAATCCTTCTAAAGATCAAACCCCAAATTTGGATACGTTACGTAGATGACATTCGTAATAATCAAAAAAACGAGCTGAATAAAACTCACAACTTAATAAACAAAGTTTTCAACGATATCCTAAAACAAAATCCCATTTTTGAATGTCTTAGTCAAGCGAACAACCACAGGGCTATTAGAAACTCAAGTTTATAGAAAATCAACCCACACAGACCAAATCCTGAATTACAACAGCAACAATCCAATAACACACAAAAGGAATTGTATACAAACACTATTCAAGAGGGCCAGGACTCATTGCAGCACTCCACCTTAAGGAAAATTGAAGAAAAATATCTCATGGACGTCTTCTTAAAGAATGAATACCCGCAGAATCTCATCAAAGACATATACCTCAAGCCGAGCTATTAAATCAAAGTCTCCCAAGGAAGGAACAAAGAAAATCGCCCTACTATATATGAAGGAGATCTCAGATATCACTGCAAGACTCTTCAAACCTTTAGGAATTGACGTCGCACACAAACCAACAAAATCACTTCACTTAGTTCTATATCAAACAAAATACTCAACAACGAAAGTGTAACAAAATAAATTGTAATAACTGATAAAAACACTAACTGAATTGGCCAAAGTGAACGTCGTCTTCGTCTTCGTATCCATGAACATAAGTCAGCCATCGAAAGACATGACATCCACTCCCTCATATCACCACATACAGACAACCACAGACATCAATTCGACTGGGACAACCAACGTTCAAATATTAGACAGAGGAAACGCCAGAGAATTTTCGGTAGCCTGGTATTCCAGTGAATCGTTAATGAATAGACACATCAAGACAGACAAAATTTACCAATCGATAAGAAGGAAATCTCACACAAAAAGGGTCAAACTTCAAGTCATGGCAACAATCAGCACCAGTAGTAATACAAGTAGTCTAGAGAGTGTGAAAACACACAAAAACAACCAATCACATTCGAGGTCATTCGCCGGAAGAGATGACTAATAAACTCGTGAAGAAATTTTAAAGCTCAGTTCAAAAAATTGAAGTATGCACTGAAGAGGTTGCCTAGCTGGGCAATAAAAGCTTCACAAATTAACTATCCAGCTCAGAGAACACAGCCATACCAAAACCATCCACCTTAACTAGAAAATCTTCTTCATCATACCTACTGATATACAGTCAGTCTAGGGGAAAAACGTATAATAATTACGAAGTTAATGTCTGAATATTAGTATAAACAGATCGTCCAAATGATTTTTCCATTACACTAATAATAAAAATTCGTTTATTCATGTGTTTTTGATTTTCCTTTTTCTCTGATTTGTAGTCAACCCTGCTCAAATACAATCATAGACTTATTACCAGATATCAGTAAACTACGCCAGCATCATGAATATCAACCAAATCCACCTCATTTAAACAATATTGACAGCATGAATTTACCAATTGTTGAAAAAATAAAAAGTTTAGAAGCTTTTCCTAAAATTAGTGAAAATGATTATCCATCAGGTATTTACTATTTCAATGGTTCAACTCATTTGGATTTAAATCATTTTGGTATATTTCATACATTACAAAGATTTGATAATAACAAATTTACAATAAATTTTTGGATGAAACATTCACCAATTTTATTGAATCAACAATATGATGAAGGCTTTGCATCATCAAATGGACGTGAGAATATTTTATGCAGTTCTGATGAATATGGTAAGTTGATTGTTTCACCTGTGAACAGTGTAAACGAAAAAAACTGTTTCAGTGGTAGGTTTATCCGGATTTATATTATTTTTACCTATTTTTTTAAGCATTTTTATTTCTTTACATTCCCAGTGGAACATTTTTACAGGATGCCTCATGCCCAACCTTCCTTCTCTACCACCGTTATAACAGGCTTAGCGAGTTAAAGGATGCGTCGGCCGGGAATCGAACCTCCGACCATGTGTATGCTTGGCGAGTGTCCTAACCACTGTGCCACCAATGCACACATTACTATTATTGTTTCTTTTAATTTCTTGAGAAATATAGGATTTCAGACGTACGTCTTCATTGCGTTCCCTTCTCCGCCAACGTTTTCACCTGACTACACTTCTGCCCACATACTTTCATCTCCTCTTCACATCACCTCCTCGATGTCACCCTAGCGCTGACGGCCAACTCGCCGCTTTCCATTCGGGTTCCACTCGAGCGATGGCTTACCGTGTGATGTCACTTGGTGGTTTGTTTTCTCAGAGTATGGTCAATGCACTTCCATTTCTTCCTGCATATTTGTTGCACAGTTGCTTCCTGATTCATTCGATCATACGGATCCATGTTGCTGATCTTTTCCGGCCATCTGATCTTGAGTAGTATTGAGTGAACACAGCTGTTGATGAAGGTGTGTAGTTTGTTCGAAGTGCCCTTCGTGACGCGGCGCCAAGTCTCTGATCCCTATAGTGAGCAGCATTGACATCAAATTGCAGTTGAAAATCCGGAACTTATTTTTCATGCTGAGTGTTGTTAATCTCCACACAAACACAAAACTAATAAAAGCTTGCTTTGCTTTCTTGATCCTCGTCAGTTCCGTCTGTCTGTAGTTGCAATGATACTTCTCAGGAAGGTAGTTAGGTGAAGGAGGTCGCTTCTTTCAAACTCCTCCGATTTATGCTGATTGTTGTCTACTGTTTTTGCTGTTGCAGTTGACCAGGAATCTTCATCACCTCTGTTTTGTCTATGTCCACCTGAGATCCTATTTTGGGTTAATTTTATGCCTGTCTACTCGTTGCCCGCCGCTGTGTACCGCACTATCCAGTCAACCACCAGCAATCAGGAAAATCATTGGAGATAGTAGGCAGAGAGCCAGCCAGCCTTTTCTCACTCCTGTCTTCACTTCGAATTATTCCATGAGTTCCGCATTGTGGATTACTTGGCATGCAGCATTGCAGTACAACTGTTGGATGAGATGTGTAATTGTTGGCGGCACCCCGTAGTAGCAGAGTAGTTTCTAAATCACCTCTCGATCGACGCTGTCTGCTGAAGTCCTTTTCAAAGTCGATTAAGTTGAGTGAGTTAGAGGGGTGACTGCCATTCCAAACTGTGTTCAATGATGATGATCCGTAGTGTTGGAATTTGATTGATGCATGACTTGTTTCTCCTGAATCCAGGCTGTTCCGGTCGATGTTTTTGGTTCATTCATTTATTCATTCATCCAAAGAATTTAAATATGTGAACCAAACTTGTTTTGATATATGTGTTTAAAAGCATTACTGAAAATCAACCTTGTGACGTGTCTCTATGATGCATTTCACTATAGATGATGTTCGACATCTATTTGCGGAATCAATTGAACATCATTTTCCTGCCCACTATATGTGACCTTGACCTGCATTGCTCTCTTACCCTCTATGTAAATCTATATGATGTGGTATGTACTTGGGTGTAGTCAGAGTGCTCCAAATATGTTGCACCGATACATTACACGCTTCAGGCAACCTACATCTCTTCTTATTGTTTTGTAGAAATTCTTAAAAGCAACTAATTGCTTTCTATTTATTGATTGCCTTTTTTGTTTGTTTTTGTATTCTATCATCTTACAGAAAAGAATCGACATCATTTTGCTGTATTTTTGCACAACTGTAAACTTGTTGTCCTAATACGACGTGAACCAAGTAATGCATCAATATCAGATTCCACTCAGCTACTTCCATCACAATGGCGTTTTGATGTGGATGAAGTATGCGATTCTAACTGGCATCATTATTCATTGACTTATAATCCACCGAAATATTCATTACAAAAATCTATACCATCTATGGGATTAGATAGTGAAATTGAAGTGAGTATTATCTGAAATTATTGAATGATATACTACTAATTTGTTGATTTGAGTAGTTGGAGACCAGATTAAAAGTGAATGAAGCATTGGACTGATACGACCCATCATAAAACAGTTCATCATCTTTTCTTACGAATCGTGTGATTTATCGTGTGCCGGAGTTACTATGTGAATGTCTCATTTCTGACGTATATTGTGATTTTGTCTGTGAGGTCAATTCATCGTCTTTTGCCTACCCTTGATCTTTATCTGTCTATCGACCAATCAGGTTAGATATTTTCAACCAACGAAACCAATACATTCTCACTGGTCATGAACCGACTTTATGATGGACATTTCGTCCTATTCGCGATTTTTCAGTTGGATGTACCTTCATTCTGCAGTGAGTGATGATGTTCCCACCGAGGCTTGAACCCAGTGCGCATAGTTTCAAACGCCAAAGTGTTATCCACTAAACCATTTGGGCCACCTCTTGTATCTGATTTGATTGAGCTGAGAAAACCGAATCATCACTACCGGTTTAAGTGAAATTTCCAACTATTAATAAGAATCAGTAGTATGTTTCATCTTACAAGTATGTCATTTATGGCATCAAATATATCACATATTGTCATTTGAATATGTTGACTTTCTAAAGGAAACAGTAGGGAGATGTTTAGTGTAGTTGTCTTCACTGTGCTGAATGGTTTCGTTTCAAAGCCTTCATTGCCTTACTAGACAACGTCTTCACCGCATATTTCAATTTGAAGTCATCTACTTAAATTTCTCCATGAGTTTATCCATTGTCTCTCCCGGTAACTCTGAAAGCGATTGGTTGTTTTTGTGTGTTTTCATACATACTTTCATTGATATTGATTTTTTCTCTGACCTGAACTTTGACCCTTTCTGTATGAGATGTACTTCTTATGTATTGGTAAATTTTGTTTATATCCATGCATCTGTTATTTGTCATTCACCTGAATACCAGGCTTCTGAAAACTCTTTGACGTTTTTGGTGTTTCGTTTGTCCAATATTTGGACGTTCTCCCAATCAGAGTTGAACACTTTAGTGATATAAGGAAGTGGATATCATGTCATTTTAACAACCAGCATATGTTCATAGATGCGAAGACGAAACTGGTGTCCACTATGCCAACGTATTGTTTTTCACAGTTATTGCAACCTATTTTGTAGATGATGTTGGCTTTATCTTCTTTCCCTATTGAGCCTTTTGGTTGACATAGAGCCAGCTGAGTGAAGTGATTTTGTTGGCTTCTGTGCGACATCAATTCCTAAAGATTCGAAGAGTCTTGCAGTGATTCCTCAGACATTCTTTATATGTAGTTAGACAATTTTCTCTGTGTTTTTCTTGGAGGCCTTTGATTTGGTTGGTTGTCTTAGGAATAAATGTCTTTTGATGAAGTTTCATGGATATCTCTTCTTTTGCAAGATGTTTATAAATTTTTTTTCCTTCAATTTTCTACCTGATCTACAAATCTTCTTCATTATATCTAGTAGTTAAATTTCATGTCAAACTGCTCAGTTTATAAAGCAGTCGAAAAACTTGGAGATGCTTGAATCGTCATTTTGAAATAATCATTACCTGTGGTGATGTTGTCGTAGTTTTTGGGCTGCATGGTCTAATTACGAAGGTTTTATAGCCGCCCAGTAATTGATATTGTACTGCCGCGATATATATTCTGAAACCAATTACTGTGGCTATCAGCTATCCAGATTGTTAAGATCCTGAACCTATCGCTGTTTTCAGAATAGTAAGCCTCCTACAGAAGTACTATACACGGTAACGATGCAGGCAAAATTAGGCAATACCAAGTGCAAATTCTGTAAATAAATGTCAGTGTAATGCACAGCAGTTAGGACTCCCGCCGACCATGCACATGGCCTACGGTTCGATCCCCTCTGATTCACATGATATTATGGTCGGCCTGCAAAATTTGCACTACCGATATCACAAGCTGAAAATTCCATACCTGTACCTAAAATACGGTGTGGCATCAAGCTGTAATTAGAAAATCAGTAAAATATTTCTCTAATCTTCTGCCAATTAGAATACGATTGGTTAAGTAACGATAGCCTTCATGTCTCCCGCCAAATGGATACGTGTTCGAGTAAACAAATGATTCAATGTTCACTAACATTAACAGTAACCCTTTTTCTTATCTACAATGTTTAATTAGCTGTTTCTTGATATGCATTAAAATATAACTGGACGATTTGAATACAATAGAAACGAGAAATGTTAATTATATTAAGAAATTTATAGAAAAAAAAACGCCCATAAATTACTGACTCATCACTATCATTGTTATTAACAGCTGGATTGTAATCGATATCGAGTAACAAAGATTTTCAATGTTCTACAAAATTTCAATTCTAATGTCATTCATTAGATTGTTTAGATAATTATAAAATTAAATTAGGAGGTCAAGTGATGACTATTTTAAACAAGCTCCTAAATATTTGTTTAAATTAGTTAGAACTGAAATGTTCTGTCTCCAGAGATTATATGGTATATCCTTTTTTCTAAGTGGCGCCACCTCCGTTATCCAGTAAGTAGTAAGATGTTTCTCAGCTGTCTATTTCAACTTCATTGACTTTGAAAAAACATTCGAAAGCGTCGACCGAGAGGTGATTTGGCCGCCAAGAATTATACACCTCATCCAACAGTTGTACGACAGTGCTGCATGACAAGTAATCCACAACGGGAAACTCACGGAATCCATCGAAGTGAAGACGGGAGTAAGACAAGAATGGCTGGCTGCCTACAATCTCCAATGATTTTCCTGATTACGTTAGACTGGATGGTGCGATAAGCAGCATTGAGGAGTGGGGAAAAAGGCATAAAATAGATCTACACAAAGATGTTGGAGGATCTGGACTTCGACGATGATGATATATGTGTGATTTCCCACAAACTGGAAGATATTCGAGTGAAAAGTGACAAGTTGGCAGAAGAAGCATCCAGAGAGATAGGACTTACTTCAGGTGCACATAGAGAAAACAAAGGTGATGAAGATTCCTGGCCAACAGCGACAGCAACAACAACAGATAACAATCAGCATAAATTGGAGTGGTCTGAAAGAAGGAACCTCCTTCACATACCTACTTACCTACATGAGAAGTATCGTTTCAACTACAGGCAGAACTGATGAGGATATCAAAGTGAGGATTGGGAAAATAAGGCAAGCTTCCATTTCTCTCAAGTCTGTGTGGAGATCAACAGCACTCAGTATGAAAAATATCATCCGGATTTTCAACTCCAGTGTTAAGTCAATGCTGCTATACGGATTAGAGTATTGCCATTTCACGAAGGGCACTTCGAACAAACTACATACCTTCATCAACAGCTGTCTTCGCTCAATACTACTGAAGATCAGATAGCCGAAAAGATCAGCAATAATGAGAGATATTCAAGTGTTGGTTTGTAGGAATTTGACTGGTTACTGTATTTCATCATGAGCTGACATTAGTTAGAGAACCATTGGAAAACCTGGGAGTACTTGATAACTGTTTCGTCCTAGTTTGGGACTCTTCATCAGTACGCACCCACCGGGGTTCGAACCAAGGACCTTCTGGTTACAAGGCTAGCGAACTCGTATACCATTAAGCCACTGAGACCCGATCCAATGGCCGGCGCATGAATTCTAACTTCTGCCAATTCACGACATAGGGCGACACCTAGCCAATGTTTTTGGCGAGTATTTGTCCTCACACTCGACCTGCTGCACCCTACTGGTGAGGGATCTCTGGGAGCGAACCGACCCAGCAGGAACAAATTCCGAAACATACCTTGAGTGAACAAACCAACAAGTGACATCACACTCCAGGCCATTGCTCTAGTTGAATCCGAATGGGAAGCGGCGAGTTGGCCGTCAGTGTGGTGGAAACGTTCGCAGAGAACCAAACGCCATTGAGACGTTCGTCTGAAGCCTTATGCTCCTCTAGGAATTAAAGGAATAATAATAGAGATGTTTTAATATGTAGGCAAACATATATACCAGCAGGGTTAACGAAAGTTCAAAAATGCATACGTTTAACTTTTCAACCTACTGACTCCTATAATCCATTGCATCATTTCACAGATATCATTATCAGGGAAGATTTTCGGATAAAAGTGTAGCAAATTTTTAACACAGTTCATGGGTATAATCCTATCGACAATATGTACTCCGGAAAAAATTACTTTAATGCGAAATTTCACTTAAAAAGCATATTAAAAAATATATATAACTTATCATTAAACCACCATAGCAACGGACTATTATTACTATCATTATTGATCCCTTCGATTCCAAGCAGAAAATATGACTTCAGCAACACATCTACACTTTTGGAATTGAAAGTGTTCTCTGAGCTACTTGGTTTAATTGCGGAGCTTTCATCGTCTTTCTGGACGACATCTTCAGCGCAGTATTTAGGATAAAGTGAAATGATTTAAATTTCTTCATGAGTCTCCCGGTAACATCTTTAGATATTTACCGGGAGACTCATGAAGAAATTTAAATCATTTCACTTTATCCTAAATACTGCGCTGAAGATGTCGTCCAGAAAGACGATGAAAGCTCCGCAATTAAACCAAGGAGCTCAGAGAACACTATCAATTCCAATCATCCACCTGAGTTACAAATCTTTTCTATTATTTCAACATCTACACTTTGTTCTATTTTCTATTCTCCACTTCAGCTAGGTTCACGATTGACCATAATCTCTAATCTCCTCCTCGCACGACCTCCTCCATGTCACTTTCGGACACACATCCAACTCGTTGTTTCCCAATTTTCTTTCCACTTGAGAGATGGCCTTCACTGAACACGATATCATTTGACAGTCTCCTCAGTATGTGCCCGATCCATCGTCATTTCTTCTACATATTTCTTGAGCAATCAACTCTTAGATGGTTTATTCTTAGCCAAAGTTTCTTATTGCTAATTCTTTCTGGCCAGTCGCCAATTTGATCTTCAGTATGGTGTCAAAGAATGTGGAAGCTGTTGATAAAATTC